ACCAATCACAGCTCGCTCTCTCTCCCCACCAATCACAGCTCTCTCTTCTCCCCACCAATCACAGCTCGCTCTCTCCCCACCAATCACAGCTCGCTCTCTCCCCGCCAATCACAGGCTGCCGGTGTGGCATGGTCCAGTGTAGTGCAGTGCAGTGGTTGTTGGGCTGCCTCCTCTCGCCTGGTTAGCGAGAGGACCTGGGTTTGATTCCCGCCCCCGGTGCAGGACCAACAAAACCTTAGCAAGTCTCCTTACTCACACACACGTACGTCTCTGTTCATCTGGGAAAAAGTAGGAGCCCTGTTGTTAGTCGATTGGCAATATTGCCCACCTTTCCCCAAAAAATACAACTTGCATTTACAGAGCCCCCCCCCCACGCAGGGTAGTGCCCCAGAGCACTTGACAGTCGCTGAGCACGACACCGAGCCAGGGGAAGAGGGAGGTCACCGTAGAAGAGGAAGTCCTTCAGTCAAAAGATGGCAAAGGAGGGGCCAAGGCAGAGGGATAGCGGAAGTGTTCCAGAGTTTCGGGTGTAGTGTCCGAAAGCGCGGCCATCGGCGGTTGAAAGGACAGAGGGCGCAAAGAACGTTCGAGTGGCTGGAGCCAGTCAAGTGAAGGAAGTGGGTAGTGGATTGGGGGGTAAGCGGGTCAGAGAGGTAGGGAGGTGCAGAGGGCGAACGATTTGAAAATGAGTGTGAGGATCTTGAAATCGATCCGTTCAGCAACAGGGAAGCTGACTAGGGCTGATGTGATAATAATAATAATTTGGCCACTCAATCCACTACTGTTCGTTGGACACTGCTGTGAGCAATTGGCTCCCGCATTTCACTCACAGAATATACAGTCGATTCAATTTACAGTATGCAAAATACTGCAGATTCTGGAAATCTGAAACAAAAACATTTCGGGTCATGGACGTTGACTCACTTTCCTTTCTCCATAGAAGCTGCCTGACCTACAGGAGGCCTCCCACTGAGGCCTCTCACAGGAGTCCTCCTCGCTGAGTATAGATAGACAAAATGTCTGTCTGTGTGTCAATCTACATTCCATATTGATCTTTTGGTTGCAAGCGAAGCTGCAATGGTTACAGCTTGTTAAGGAGAGCTTTGGTCCTAATACCGACCCTTGGGGGACACCACTGTATACCTCCCTCCAGTCTGAAAAACAACCGATCACATTACCCTCTGCTTTTTGTCTCCCAGCCAATTTCGGATCCTTGCTGTTACTGTTCCCTTAATCCATGGGCTTCATAGAATTATAGAATCATAGAGAATAGAAACTCCCTCCTCTTTTAAAACAGGATCTTTAACGTTTGCGTTGAACAGGCAGACGGGACATTGGTTTCGAGTCTCATCCAAAGAACAGCACCTCTGACAATTCAGCGCTCCCTCCACCACCACATTGCACCACAGTCAGACTAACCACAGAAGCTGTTGCTCAAAAGCGGGCAAAAGATTTACAAAGCAAAGAAAAGTCAGGGAACCCAACATCTTATCAAATAAACTATTTATTTCCAATTAAGGATAAATCTTTAAATAACTTATGCAAATTAATTTCAAAAGTGAGTCTCATTAATTGATTGGTTTGATATATTAAGATGGCACAGACAGTAAAATACATTGGTGTCCCTCAGGACAGATACACGTAGCCTACAGTAGTGACACGATAACTCCACCAGGAACGAGAGAAGTTTCACAGTTGTACAACACGATGGTGACGGGTTGTCAATCAGAGGACCTGCACTTCACACCCGGAAAGGGGATTCTGGTGGGTTCAGGTGTGTGGGATGGGAAGGGGGATTTGGTTAGACCTGGGTGAAAAACAACACTGCAGAAGGAGTGGATTACACAAGCCGCTTGCAGCTGGAGACAAGCTACAAATTTAAATAACACAAGGACATTCCTCCAACTGTGATGTTGGGCAGCCAGCCGCACAGGGAGGGTTTACCAGGCCTCTGTGGTACCTCACTTCGATGACTGAGTGTCACTAACACATTCTAACAGGGAAATGTGGGTTCACTGGATGGTGATCAAGAGCAGGTAACACGAGCCGATTTGAGCCTCTTTATCCCAGGGGCAGTGAGGCAATCGAGGCCTCAACTGCTGTCCTGCCTGAGATCAACAGCGCAGCTCAGAGCGAGGATCGAACCTGCGACCTTCTTGTCTGTTTGGCTTGGATTGTGCGAGGAAGCGGCTTTGCCAGCTGGGGCCCAGGTGACAAGCTCACCCCTGGGTTTAAGACTGGATGATACAGTGCAAGAAACACAATCAGCTTCAGGAAAAGTGTGGGGAGGTGGGGTAGGGTGGGGATTGTGTCCTGCATTCCCCACGCAGCAGCTGGGTGGATTGTGAGGGGAGGGACGTGTGCTGTACCTTATAAAAAGCTTCAGCAACCCAAAATCCCACTTCATCTTAGCCTTAAAACCACCGTTAATATCAGCATAATTTTGGAAATCTACAAATTTGCTCTCATTTTTGAAGCTGGTTACCTTGTAAGAATGATGAACAATCGGTTGCCCAATGAAGGCTGAATTTAAGGGTTTTCTGAAATCCTATTTCACCATAAATGCTGACATTTTGGGGGAGGAAGTTTAAGGAGAGGAAGTTTCTGCTAAATTAGCATTTTAAGAGGAGCAGAAGAGCAGAGAGACATAGGGTTAACATACAGAAATCTGTAAAGGTGAGAAGGTAGGTGTGCAAAGTTGCAGAAAGCTAATAGGAGCCCAGGTTTTATAAATATTAGAAAAATTAGAATATAAAACCAGAGGTGATGCTTCCTAAAGTCACCCCACTCTTAGAGAAGGTGTCAGGGCCATAGAGGGGCAGAGGCAGCAATTTAAGATAATCAAGAATATTGGACAGAGGAAGATCAGAAGAACTGGTTTTATAGAGTTGTTAGTATGTGGAATGCTAGGAGTTTACAGACTTGTTAGGATGTAGAATGTGGCCGGGTGCAAAGGTCTTGGCAGGATCCATATTAGTGTTCAAGTGAGAACGAGACACATATCTACGATGGGAGTAATTTGCAGGGATTTGGGGGCAAAGGGCAGGTAAACGGGGACTGAATGGATTGCATTTTCAAAGAACCAGCACAGACACAAACGACCTTCTTCTGTGCTATAAAGTTCTCTGATTCTAAGACAATGGACCGAGGCTGGAATCGCTGAGACCTGGGCAGACCGCCAGCCCCACGTTACACTTCACAAAACTTCTGCACAACTTTGAATAATGTGTCTGACCTCCAGGTTTGCTGTGGCTCCATTCACCTGTCCTCAGCCGCTTCCCAGACATTCCCCCACTGCCATGTGTTCTACCACACCTCTAGAGCCCGTAAGGCTCCAGGTAGGTACTTGGAAGGAACGCACCTGAGCTCAGGTAAATGTTGGTGTAAGGAGCTTGGGAGTCAGATCGGCAAGTGGCTGCTGGCTGTGACAAACACAGTCAGCACTAGCCAGCTCCGCATTCAGACGTGTACAACACAGCAAAGTGACACACAAAGCAGAGGTGAAAGATGGACGGCATCGAGACTGGTGAGAAATCAAGCAAGTTAACAAGTGCCCTTGCTCAGGGCCACAGCTTTTGTTAGATCAACTATAATACTGAACAGTAGCACATCTCCTCGGCCTGTGAACTCCCCCTCCTCCCGCCCACCCCAATGCCCAAGGTTGGGAATTCAACACAAATTTGCAAATCACCCAGAAGTCTAGCCCCAGGGAGGGAGTGCAAAATCTCGATCTGTGTGCAATCCTGAGGGCTGGCGGTGCCTTGGAAAGGGAGCGGGGCTGCAGCCGGTTTAATCAATGTATCTGCGTCCGCACTGGGCAGATAGCTCTCACCCTGCACACACATCATGCTCTGACTGAGGCCAGCTCTCACTGTGCACATCAATGGCAAGACATCTCACCAGGCACACATTCTTATCGCCCTCCTTATCAAATCCTTACATAATTGTAGGCTGGTCTGGTCTGATCTGACACAAGAGTGCTACACACAGAGAAGTCTGACCCTCTGCTGTGGCTGAAAACCAAATGAAGTGAGAGGAGTGCTGGGCTGGGACTTAGAAGAGAACATACGTGTCCAACAGTTGATGCACTATACACAATACACAGCTACGCCACAGGGGGAGGGAGGAGGGGGCGCTCCACTGTGGAACAATCACAAACAGAAACCAGACGGGAATCAAAAAGTTAATTTAAAAAAATATTAGAAATTAATCGTTCATTATAAATTCTACGTCACAATATTCAGTGATGGACACAAATTCGCCCTGACAGCAGCGCCCCCGCCCCCACCTCACCCATCCTCACTGCACGCTCCACGGGCCAGCGAGTGAGGCAGCCAGTCTGCGGCAGCACCCCACTGACTCTGCTCACCAATGGGTGAGGGGGGGGGGGGGGGGGAGAGGGGAGAGGAGGGAAGAGAGGGATGAGGGGAGAGGGAGGTGAGGGAGGTGGACGGAGGGGGGGAAGGGGACGAGGGAAGGAGGGGATCCTCACTGAGTGTTACTCCCTCTGCCCTCCCCTTACCCCGGGCTGGCAGCCACACTCAATGAGTGTGGGAGGGCTGTGCTGTGCGGCTGGATGTTAGATGATGGTGGCGTGGATGATGATCTCGGGGTTCTCGATGTCGCACTTGCTCTGCACCACACGTAACTCCAGCTCCGCAGAGTTGGGCCTCCTCCCCAATCCAGCCATGACTGCGGAGAGAGAGGGAGAGCGGTCAGTCTGCCCGCCCACCCGCAGACCCTCACCAACACCCACCATAGGAAGTCACCCCCACTCTCTGCGGGGTCAGCACAGCATCCCCTCCCTGCCCACACACAAAGGCCCTGAAGTCTCGTACCCCCCCGCCACCTCCCACACACAGCATCATGGGATCGCAGCCCAGCCCCCCCACCCCCCCAAACCATCAAAAACTTGCACTCATATAGTGCCCTCCATGCATGGTAATGTCTCAGAGCGTTTAACAATGGCAGAGCCTGACTCCGAGCTGGGGTGGGTGGGTGGGGGGGGGGGGGAGGGGGCCGGGGAGGTGGCCATATGCACGGTCAAAGAGTAAGGTTTGAAAAAGGGGGAGGGGACAAGGTGGCAGGATTGAGGGAGTGTTTCGGGGCGCAGTGGATACACGCCTTCGTTACATCGAGGCTCGACTATGCAAACTCACTGTTCGTCGGCCTCCCCAACTCCTCCCTCCACAGGCTGCAGATCATCCAGAACTCTGCGGCCCGTGTCCTCTCCCGCACTAAGCTCTGAAACCCTATCACCCCCATCCTCGCCCAACTC